CACTGATTCTGGATGAGCTGTGTGTGCGGCAGGCACAGTGCCCACATCTGGATGTTAGAGAAATTGGAAGTAGCTCAAGGTGTGCAGGCCTGCGACCCCAGCACTCAGGAGGCGGCCAGGGGCCTCAGGGACGTCCCGCCTCAGAGTCAGAGGAAGACCAGAGACGGTGGGAAAGATCCTGCCGTGCCCTGGAGTCCAGGACGCTGGGCGGAGCAGCGTGTCCCAGTCAGCGTCCTGCAGGAGAGGACGGCTGGGACAGAACTCCCGAGGGGCAGCAGACAGGAGGAGCCGTGAAGAGGGCAGCTGAGCTGTGACCGCACGCACGCGGCGGCCTGTGTGCGATGGCATTTACGTGGTGGCGATCATTTGGTGGCGCTCCACGGTGGCGCTCACGCACTCACACACAAAGGTTTTGTTGCAAAGTGAAAAGAGAGCAGCCAGGTGTGGCGGCAGCGCGCACCTTTAACCTCAGGCAGAGGCGGGCGGATCTCTGTGAGTTCGAGGCCAGCGTGGGCTACAGAGTGAGATCCAGGACAGCCAGGGCTACACAGAGAAACCCTGTCTCAGAAAATTAAAAATGAATGGATAAACAGTGACAAGAGCCAACTGGAGTTCGATTCCTGGGAGTGGGCTCCGGTCCGCTGTCCTCTGACCTCCACGGGCACGCACACATCAAGTAACTGACACGGGCCGTAGAGAGGCCTGGTGGCTGAGGACACTCACACGCCTGCAGAGGACCCGAGTTCGAGTCTCAGCACCTGCGTTAGGTGGCGCCTGTCTGTTATTCCAGCTCCAGGATCCCCCGCTGGCCTCTTCCAGCACTGCACCCAGAAACACATTTAAAAGAAGAGTTTTTTTTTTTTTTTTTTTTTTTTTAAGGTTTTTTGCTTTTTTGAGAAAGTGTTTCTCTGTGCAGCCCGGGCTGTCCTGGATCTCACTCTGTAGCCCAGGCTGGCCTCGAACTCAGAGATCCTCCTGCCTCTGCCTCCTGAGCACAGGGATGAAAGGCGCGCGCCACCACTGCCTAGCATAAAAAACAATAAAATCAAGATTTAAAAAATTATGTTTGTTTGTGTGTCCTTTGTGTGACTGTATGCCAACTGTGTGTGCCCAAGGCCAGACGGGAGCATCGTGGAACCCCAGGTGGTTGTGAACTACGGGCCTGTGCTGGGAAGCAAACAGGACCCCTGGCAAGAGCAAGACCTACTCTTAACCTCGAGCCGGCTCTCCAACTGTTCAAAAGAATCTTTTTTGTTTGTTTGTTTGTTTTTGTTTTGTTTTCCGAGACAGGGTTTCTCTGTGTAGCTTTGCGCCTTTCCTGGAACTCACTTTGTAGTCCAGGCTGGCCTCGAACTCACAGAGATCCTCCTGCCTCTGCCTCCCGAGTGCTGGGACTAAAGGTGTGCGCCACCAGCCTCAAAATGAATCTTTTAAACCAAGAAGTCAGGTGTGGTGGCGCAGGCCTTTAATCCCAGCACTGGGGAGGCAGAGGCAGGAGGATCTGTGAGTTGGAGGCCAGCCTGGGCTACCAAGTGAGTCCCAGGACAGCCGGGTCATAGTGAGTTTGAACTAGAGTTACATGGTGAGAATCTATCTTTAAAAAAGAAGAAAGAAAGGAAGAAAGAAAGGAAGGAAGGAAGGAAGGAAGGAAGGAAGGAAGGAAGGAAGAAAGGAAGAAAGAAAGAAAAAGAAAGGAAGAGGGGCTGGACAGACGGCTCAGCGGTTAGCGCGCCGGCTGCCCCTGCAGAGGACGCACCCGGGGCTCACAACCGCCCGTGACTCCAGTCCCGGGGACCCAGCACCCCCTCCTGGCCTCTGCAGGCACTGCCCACATGTGGTGCCCAGGCCTGTTTACCTACACACACAGACACACACACACACACACACACACACACACACGTATAAAATAATAAAGGGGCCACTTGGAACCCCGCCCACGAGCCCCCTCCCCTCTCCCGGTCCTCGGCCTCCTGGGGTCCCCTCACCTCTGTTTCCAGGCTGTGGCGGTCTCGATGCCGTCACCCGCACCCCTCCCGCACCCCCCCTGCCGTCCTGAGGCCCGGGCGACCCTGCGACCTTGGCCACGCTCCCCCGCTGCCCCGTGGCGTCACCGAGACCCGGGGGGAGGCCCAGGTCTGCGTGGCCCCGGCCGCAGCCCCATCTCTGTCCTCCCGGGTCCACCCGGCTCCGGATCCGCGGGTCTCGGCCTCCTGGGTGCCGGGTGCCAGGCCCCGGCCGTCCACGCTGGGCCGACTGGGCCGGGCCGCAGCCCCAGCCCGCCCGGGCCTGCTTTTCAGTTCTCAGGGGCCCAGGCTGACCCGGAACGCGGCCTCCTGACCGGTGACATCCGCGGCCCCGTCTCTCCTGGACACCGGCCACGGCATCTGGGCCCTAAGCCGGGATCGTCTCCGGCTTCTTTTTTAATTTTCGAGGCAGGGTTTCTCTGTGCAGTTTTGGGGTCTGTCAAGAACTCGCTCTGTAGCCCAGGCTGGCCTCGAACTAGAGATGTGCCTGGTGCGGCCTCCGGAGGACTGGGGTTAAGGCGCTCGTTGTCGTGCCCACCCGGGGACTCCAGGTCCTCCATCGCGTCTGGAGAGTGATTCCTGGTCTTGGGATTTATCTGTGTGTGTGTGGCGAGGTGAGGATTGGCATCATTCAAACCCCTCAGCCCCCCAGCCCAGGGTAGGATGCAGGCCTTAGGAGTGACCCCTCACCACACTCCTGTGACCCCTCACCACACTCCTGTGACCCCTCACCACACTCCTGTG